TGGTCAAGGACTAGTCCCAAATGGGACCAGTCGCTCATGGGTCTGGCACCGGTCCCAGGCCCATGAGCAATATTAGGACCCGGACCGGTCCCTAGGACTGGTCCTATGGGCCCAAGACCGGTCCTATGGGCTTGGATAATTTCTTTTCCCCCCTGATCTTTTTTTATATTTTAGGGGCGAAATAAAATTTTATAGGGGGTTTTTAGTATTTTTTAGGAATAGATTAGTAAGTTTCTAAAAATTTAATTAATTTTAAAAATTAATTAATTAATAGTTAATTTTAATTTTTAACATAAATGTAATATTCACGTTTCACACATTCACGCTTCACAAATAAACAATTAAATAATTTTTTTTTATTAAATTATTCATCTTCATTGTCAACAATATTTACATCATTCAAATCTGTATTCCTAAAGAGTTCAAGTAGTTCGGGATCTTCAAGGTGCTATTGTAGTCTTCTTTCTACATGAGTCCAATCCCGTAAACACGTTATCACTTCAATCATCTCATCGGTTAAAAAACATCTTCTATCTTCAACAATCCAACCACTCGTTGAAAATGTTGACTCGGATGCAATTGTAGAAACCGGCACAGATAAAATGTCACGTGCCATTTGGGCTACAATGGGGAATCGACTTTCATGTTGGTTCCACCATTGAAGAATATCCATGTCATGTTGGTCCTTCATCGTCATAAAGGATAAGTCCACTTGTAGGTAGCGATTCAGCTCATTTGGTCTATGTATGTACAAGCTGGAGTTGCTACTTCCGCCACGTTCCACATACATCCACTTGCTCGATCCTTGACGGAGGGCTGCATCAAGGTCCTGATCCTCTCTCTTGAACGTTCCACTTCCACTTCCATTGTACCTGTTCTCATATAAAGAAAAAAGGCTATCCATTTTTTTTTTAAGTCAGTCAAATAAGACGTATAATCATGTCCTAAATGCTGGTCTAACTCAGTAATTATACAATTAACTACGTGTAATTTAAACCTAGGATCTAGAACAAGGCCTAATCCATATAAGAATGGAATATCTAACCAATATTTCTCATATTTTTCTTCCATCTTTAAAACAATTTCCCTTAAAACGTTATTATATCTATATTTAACAAAAGTTTTAGCAATTTGAAGTAAAATATCTAACACTAAATTAGTAGTCGGATAATAAATATCACTTAATGCATTAGTAGCATCATAAAGAATTTGAAGAAATGAATAAAAAAGTTCACAAACCGCCCAATCATCATAGTTGACAACTTTCTCTGGATAGTGCTTCCGGTTGACGAAATCTGTAATTTGTTTCGCAGTTGGCAAAGCTTTTTCCAACATCAAGTATGTGGAGTTCCAACGGATAGGCATGTTTGTACATAACTTCAAAGGTCGAACCGGTGGGTCCTCTTGCTTACAATATTTAACGTACTCCTGCCATCTTTTATTGCTACCGCAGACGATAAATCCGATAGCTCTGTGCATCCTCTCCATCTTCGAATGTATAGCATCTAAACCTGCTTTAACTATCAATTTGATGATGTGGTAAGCACATCTTTGATGAAAAAAATTTCCTTCACCACGCTGATCCAATCTCTTTTTAAATAAAGAGATTGTCGTGGTGTTAGCAGCTGCATTATCAAGCGTTAGCGCTACAACCCTATCAGTTAATAAATATTCTTGCAAAACTTCAAGAATTGTAAAATAAATAGTTTCAGCACTATGTTTTTCATATAATGGTTTAAAACCTATCAATTTTTGTTGTAAACCCCAATTATGATCTAAGAAATGTATTGTGACAGTTAAAAAATTGGTTTTTGATCTACAAGCCCATATGTCTGATGTAAGTGCAATAGATATATTCCTAAAATTTTGAAATTTGTTTTTAAGTTTATTATTTATTTTGTTATAAAGTTTTAGTATATCTCTTCTACTTGTACTTCTACTAACAGGGGTATATGCTGAAAAAAATGAAGTTTTAACCATATGAATAAAAAAAGGATTTTCAAATAAACAAATGGGAGAGTCTGTAGCAACTATGAATCTTGCTATTTCCTCTCGTGCAACATGTGTATTGTATTGCCATGTTGAGAGAGTTGAGGATTGTAGATTAAAATTAAGTTGAGTTTGAATTTGTCTACCTGATTCGCTTGAAGATGTATCCGGCAACTGCATTATTTGGGGGTGCTTCTTCTCCACGTGTCGTCGCATCGTAGAAGTCCCCTTCTCAGCGCCAATAATGGTTCTACAGAAATTACATATCTCACACGATTCTTTCCCCTCTCCATTTGTCTTTGGCCGTTTTGATTTGGTAAAGTGTCGCCATACATCGGACACGACCCTCTTTGACGGTCGAGGGGGTTAGGCTATGCCTGTGCCCGTTGACTCGCAGCTCGTATGTGTTTGGCTACACCTTGTCCCGACCGAATGTGGTTGTGGAATTGTAGCTACTGCCTCTGGAGGAAATGGTGAAAATGGATTGAACCCTTCCATTTCTTCAGTGGATGGAACGTAAAACTCATTTGATGATGATCCTCTGAATGCATCATTTCGGGAATCCATTATGAATTTATGATAAAATAATAAATAATTAAAATGAAAAGAAATTAAATAATAATATGAATAAGAGATGATATTGAAAAATAGAAAAATATAAATAGATAAATAATATGAGAAAAAGAAGTTTATTAGAGAAAAGTTATCTTTTTTTTTTTATAAATTTTGTAAAAAAATTTTAACCCCTATAATTTATGTTTATTTCAAAATTTATAGGGGGTTTTATGTAATTGTATAAGGGACTAAACCCCGAGCCTTGGAGGAGGGTCCAATGGAGGGACTAGGCCCTCCTCCTTAGGCTTGAGAGGACCAGTCCTAGGACCAAGTTTTTAGGCTGGGTCTTTGGACCCAGTCCCAAATACCCACCTCTACCTGGGTGTCTTCATTTTTATGTAACTTTGTTGATACCATTTGCATTCTACTTTAACAACTTCGCTTCACTACTATTCTCACTTCCTCTTCAAATAAGCCTTTCAAACTTAAAACCCCACTTCTTATGTTTTTACTTCCCAGTTAGGTTTGTCTGTTACCTCTTCTAGCAACCAGCAAGTAACACATGGCTATATAGTTAAGCCTCAGAACAACTCAGTCCAGTCATTTTTTCAGGTAAGTAAAAGCCCACGCTTGTAGTGACAGTACCTATTCTATGGTCTTTTTTTTTTTTTTTTTGGTTATTCTGTTTTAACAATATTGGGTCTCTGATACAATCCTGCATTAACTTTGTTGATTGAACCAGCTTTAATGTTTAATTAATATTTGCATGCAACTTTGAGCTTTACAGAGAGTGGATTTTCTTGAGTGAAGTTGAAAATTTACGGCTTAGAGAGAAGCAGAAGATGGAATAATCTAAAACAACGGTTATTGACATACAAAATCACCAAGTTACTCAACAAGCTGCTGGTTCAGGGATGAACCTGGCAATGGCACCAGCAGCTGAACTCAATTTACGGGATGGAGACGATGTGGGTCCTCCTAAGAAAGATGTTGGAAGTGGAAGTTGATGATGTTGAATTCCTCTATAATTTAACATCACTGTTTTTTAGTGTCTATATTTCTATCTTAATGTGCCAAATATTATGCATGCAATTGGATCAAGGTCGGATAAGATAACAGGAGTAATCTTCGTTTATTTTGTAAGATTCTGTTGTTAGGTATACAAGTAATAAAATATTACGGATATTTTTTATTGTAAACAGTGTTTACTGTTGGTAATATAGGGGGTAATCCGATATCCTTCCTCTGAGGTGTTATTAAAAGATTACCGGATAATCTAGGGTGCGTTTGGTTTATTATTTTGGATAGGATTTTGGGAATAATATTGGGTAGTTGAATAGGAGAGTATTACGAGGTAAAATTTAAAAATTTATGAAAAAAACCCATAGGTTTGCTAATTTAATTAAATACCCTAATATATAAAATGACAAAAACAATCCCACCACCCACAGTGCCAGATTTCGACCACACCGTTGGAATCTGGCCGAAAAATTGCGTTACGACACAGACCGGTCGGATCTATGTTGTAACGCGTCGATTTGGCTTTTTCCGGCTAGATCTACGGCCAAATGTGATCGTCGACGACCGCAAAGGTCCATCTTTGGTTGTCAACGACTGCCAAAGATATGGCCATCGTTTTTTGTCAACGATGGCCATTTCCTTGGTGAATAACCGGTCAGTTCTAGTCGTGGTGTAAGCCGTTATGACAGATTCCAGCTATCACTGACGGTGGTTGTCAGAATCTGGTAAGTATGGGTGGGTGGGGGTGTTTTTGCTAATTTTTGAACTTTTTTCTGGGGGTATTTAGTGAAATTAATAAACTTAAGGGGACTAAAAGTAATTAAAAAAATATACTAATATTTCTCAAATAATGTGCCAAACAATATTTGGGGAATAAGATTGAGAATATGGGTAGAAATATTGAACCAATCGCACCAATAATTTTTATACCTATTTTGTTTTTAATTAATTACTATTTCGGACACAAATGTTTACCAAATAACCTTTAGCCCAGCCCCGAGAATCTGAATATTTATTAATCTTGATCCCTTCTACTTATAATTTATAATAACTTATGACAAAATATTAATTATATTAGTCCAGATAAAAGATAAACTTGTCATGGGCCTCAAGTTTGTGACTATAAAAATAAACCCAGTCTATACTTTGTTGGGTTGGACTTCCCTGGGCCGTTTCGCCCCAAAGGCACTGAAATCACTATAGTTATGCTGTTGAAACACCGAAACCGAATCAAGGAGTTAAGTATTTCTAAATTGAGTCTTGAATTTAATTGGCTACTGATCTAAGTTGGCTTATAAATAAATGAGCCCAGCCTCTCTCCCTCAGAAAAAACCATCATCATTGCTTCGCCCTAAACCCCTATAATTTGGATGTCCAGTCTCCAAAACCCCCGCAAGCAAGCTCGACACTAACACTCAACACTGACATTTACATTTACAATTCGCATTCATTACAACCATCTTCAAGCAAACCAAAACATATGGTGAAGAAAGCATGGAGGATAATACCAAAACCATTACTCGAAACCATCTTAAACAATCATGCTCAACATCACCGCGTTCCTCAACCTCTCATCCTCCACGGCCCTCGTGGCGTCGGCAAAACCACAATATTTCTTGAACGTTAGTTTGATACCCACGCTTTCATTTCAGCCACATTTTCTTTTTTCTTTGTAAAATAACGCCTTCACTAACACAGTTTTTGCTTTTATTTTTGTTACCAGGGCTGCTTAAAGATTGGAACAAAGGACCTCATCTCACAGGCTACATAGACTTCGCTGAATCAATCAAAGATCACCATCCCCAGTACAACCAGTCTTTCCCTTGGTCCTCTTGGTCAAACTGTGATCCACCCTCTTTATCAAACTGTAAAACCCAGCTCGAGACATGCCTCGAATCAATGGCGCATAAGGGTATCAAATTGGGCACCATTAGTTCTCACCAAATATTCTCCACTCTCAACAAGTGGCACGGACTCAATACTGCCCTTCGGAGGATACTTCATAGTAAAAGCAAAAGTGTGAAAAATGTGGTTTCTGATAAGGTTTCAGGGTCTGTATTATGGGAGCGAGCGGTTTTCGCACTATCTGCTCGATTAAATGCCGAAGAGATTGATGGACTTTTGGAGTTGAGAGAGAAGAGTAAGAGTTTGTCGGTTGAAGAGGAGGCATATTTTAGAGAGGCGCTTGTGGCGTTGAAATTGGCTAAGGAGGTGATAAAGATGCAGCAAGAGTGGAGAGCTAATGCTATTGCTCATTTGAATAGAAGTGGTGGCTTTTCGAGGTCTTTGGCCAATTCTTGTACTGATTGGCCTTATTTGTTGATCGAGTTATTATCACAAGCTGCGGAGACTGATCATTTTCAGGTAATTGTTTACAGATTTCAAGTATTTTGCTTAGAACTTTGGTGTGTAATCGTTAAAAGTGAAAATTCGGTCAAGAACTTATCATTTCTCCGTTTAGTATCAAACCCATTTCCTTAAATTGGAGCAATGTGTTTCGTTGTTTTGTTCAGTGTGCTAATGGTTGCGTTAAGAATCAGGTTTTTTATGATGCCAAGCTCATATTCTTCAATTTGTATATGCTAGTATTTTTATTTTTGTTTTTAATTTCTATTAGTTGCCCATGACTGTTATGGAAAATAGGTTGGAAGATATATCTACACATGAGGTATATCTATGAAGAATTTATCACTGAGGTCTAATAGTGGTGTTTTACTTGATGGATTTATTTTCAATTGTTTGGGCAGCCAAAGCTGGTTATAAACAATATTGACGTGCTTCGGAATGCAATTTTAACGGATGATTCAACAGTCTGTGCATCAATGTATCATGACAGTCTGATATGGAGAATAATTGCCTTGGGTGTGAATGAGCGTTGCTTCCCTGTCATACTTGTTACTTCAGATAGGTTAGGTCCTTCTCCATGGCATCTGAATTATTTTTTGTGCAAAACTTAAACTGAAATCAAGGTTTGGTCTTTTTGTCATCAATATTTCATGCATTTTGCATGGTAGAATGTATTTTGTATTCCTCATTAATTTTACAAGAGCTATACATTTGGCATTGACACTAGCAGTGATTGTTCTTATTATCTTACATTTTGAGATTCCATGGAACTTTTTGTGAATCTTTAATTTGTTTCTAATAAATAAGTTACATTCAGCTACTATTCGTACAAGGCCTACTTGGATTTTGGATTTGTGGACATATTCATTTCTCGTGAGGTACTCATACTAAACTTATACGACTCTCTTTTCCTCTTTCTCTCCAATGTTTCAGTGTGGGCATGCATGTATATGTGTGGGTTCTCTTATTGGAGTCTATTCTTTATGAAGAAAGTATTGTAACTAATATTTATTAGTACTAGAAAAATCTGCTTTTGAGCAGTTCTCAATTTTTATTTTTCTTTGTCCCTGGATAAATCCCTATCTTCAAAGTCTGCTATGCTAGTTTACCTCTCCATTTGTACCATGTGACATGAACTATTGCCCCAGTTTTGAGAGCAAGGCAGGATTATTATTTTTGTCCTTTCAGAATTTGCATTCCTTGAGTTCATGAACCTGTTTATAAAATACATGTTCTTATTTGATCTGTTTTGTCAGTGTATTGTTGAGTTTTTGTTTCACTTTTTGGGTCTTTGATGTTTTCTACTTAGATGAATGTGTATATGTTTCAACGATTTTGGTGTGTCACTTGTTTCCTTTCTCTCTATTGTTATTTCTTTTCTGCAGACATTTGGGTGGACTTCACAGGAAGCTAAAATGCACATGGTTACAGATTACTTCAGCCAGTCAGAGGTAAGTGACATTACTGATCTTATGTTGAACATTTTTTTATGAAAGAGAAAACAGTAAATGAGACACTGCTACACTTAGGAAAACCAAAGCCAACCCTCTTGGGGGGAGTAGCATCTTGGGGTGCGTTTGGTTTATTATTTTGGATAGGATTTTGGGAATAATATTGGGTAGTTGAATAGGGGAGTATTACGAGGTAAAATTTAAAAATTTCTAAAAAACCCCCTAGGTTTGCTAATTTAATTAAACACCCCAATATATAAAAATTGTGTAAAATGACAAAAACACCCTCACCACCTGCAGTGCCAGATTCCGGCCACCACCGTCGGAATCTGGCCGGAAAATTGCGTTACACACAAACCGGTCGGATCTGTGTTGTAACGCGTCGATATGGCCTTTTCCGGCCAGATCCACCACGGATTTAGCCGGAAAATGCCAGATCTACGACCAGATGTGGCCGTCGACTGCCGCAAAGGTATGGCCATCGTTGTCAGTCAACGATGGCCATTTCTTTGGCCATCGCTGACAGTCAGATCGGTGAATAACCGGCCATTTCCGGTCGTGGTGTAAGCTGTTGTGACAGATTTCAGCTACCACCGACGGTAGTTGTCGGAATCTGGCAAGTATGGGTGGGTGGAGGTGTTTTTGCTAATTTTTAAACTTTTTTTTCTGGGGGTATTTAATGAAATTAATAAACTTAAGGGATCTAAAAGTAATTAAAAAAAATACACTAATATTTCTCAAATAATGTGCCAAACAATATTTGGGGAATAGGATTGGGAATATGGGTAGAAATATTGAACCAAACGCACCCTTGGATTTTTGGAATTCTTTAGATTTTTTAACAATGTCTTTTTTTAATGTAGTGGACCATGATTATTGAGGTTCTTGGGCCAAACCCTCGCCATCTATTCGAGCTTTATGCACTCAAGCAAAGCAATTATTACCAGAAGTAAGAATGATTCAGTGTTTATTTGCTCTATTGTTATGTATACATATATGTAAATGCTATTTTGACTTCCTGAGGTAGCATGTGGTGTACCTAGGTAATCACGATTAAAGAAATCAAATTTGTTACATTGGTGTCAAAAAAATTCTGTGTCATTTCCCTCTCCAGGTTGTAATGATAATAAGTGTTACTAATATCTGTTAAAATCAGAGAATATAAGTTTCTTGTGGAATGGCAACATGATATATAAAGCATTAATTTTAATGACTTCAGTAATATTCATTCAAAACTAATGCTGCATATGCAATTATTTGTTATCCTTTCAATTGTAGGGTGATGGAAGACAAATCTAGTACATTTGAGGACATTGTAGATGCCTATTTAGCCTACTTGCAAGTAAGTATAACTATGATCTTATTGTTATCTTCTTGATCCAAACATTAAAATTCTGAAATTGGTATTTCATAAGATAAAGGTCATTAATGGTAACCTTCAGCATGTAGTGTGAATTTATGTTGTCTATTGCTGGGGTTATCTAAACATAACTATTTCTTTGTGAATCCTATTACAATCTGTATTTATTATTTATATGTTGCGTGTATAATTTGTGAAGCAATGCCAATGTTGAGTTACTTGTTGATTTATTTTCTTAGTTCTTTGCATGTGCACCTTATACTGCCCTCACTTTTTCTTCTTATACTTCATTTTAGGTTACTGTGGTGAATCCTGCCATGCATAAAGCTTTGCTGTTCCTCCAAAAGTTTGCTGATGATGCAAAAAGTGGAAGAATTCCAAAAGACAGATTACGCTTTGGAGCTCCTTGGAGGCATCCTCCTCAAACAGATGACACTACTGTGTTGAAGGAGTGGGCTAAGATTCAACTAATGGATTTTGTTCAGTCTCTTGTTCGTGTAGAATTTGGGGTAACTTTTTTCACTTGTGCTTTTTCAATGTTTTGATTGATCCTTTCTATTATGCCATGGAAATACTTGGTTTCAATTGTTATTTACTTTTGAGAACCCAGTTTTGCACTTCTAGTTTTCTCTGCTTTCATGGTTTCAGTCATGGTAACTTTTTTTCTGTATACAATAAAGGTGTCCCAGTAATAATCTGCCTTTTCTGAATTTGACAAAATTGTCTGGGCGGGAAGTTTGAAACCTCTGCCAGGCACTTTTCTGTCAAAGTCAGTTCATCTGGAATCATGTTTGCCTTTACCGGGTATAAATGATATATTGGAGGTGCTGACTGTCTGAAAAAAAATCCTATAAAAAAAGTCTTAACTGAAAAATAAATTTAAAAAAATATGGAATTCCTTGATTAGGGATTAATGATTCATTAAGTTTCCATGCTGTGGCTACCACTGTTTTATAATTTCTTTGTCGTATTTGGTACAGATTAACTATCTAGCTGACTGTAGCCTTGAGATCTTGGATGACCCTGCTGCTGTTGCAATGTTGGAGGTATGTTTCTTGTTATATTTGGGATGGAGGAGATCTCGTTGTGTATGTCATTTTTCCTGGTTTAAATCATCTTTGATTCGGTCTTACTCCCCTGTCTACATCCTAGTTCTTCAAAATACTTACTTATGGCAAAGTGAATTCACTTGTTTCTCATTCATGTCTATTCCCAGGTTGGTTTGCTCTATGCTCAGAGGGATCCATCCTTCATGCGTCCCATTTCTAGAGGTATTCAGAGGTGTCTTGTGAGATGGTAAGCTCTATTGTCTTTTATTGGATTGCTTAGAAATGAACATGGGGGTATCATATGCTTTACATGTGAGGAATTCGGGTTGCAGGCTTGTCCAGGAGCAAATGCAATTGAGTTTCTGGAACCTGCTACAGTTTCTCTGGCAGCGCACTATACGTGGCCGCAGTTATCGCCATTTGATGCTACAGGATAGAACATAAGAGTATGTGTGGTACATAAATAATTTACTTATTCTTTGTTAATTTAAGTTTCTTGGGCAGCTAATTCTCACTCATTCCACCATGTAAGGTTTTTTCGCTCTCTCAGAATTATATGAGATGGGCAGTTAGAACTTAGAATCATATGGGTTAATTTCAAACTTAAACAAAATGCACAAGTTTGGTATGCTAATTTGTTCTTTGTTTATTTAAAAGTTTCTTTGCATTGACACAATTATATGATATACCTTTTAGGCTTACTTTGGCATAGCCATGCACATTCAGTGAGGCAGTTCTCTCTTCAAAGTTACTTGATTTAGTAAGTTTATGGATGTTGTTATTTGATGTTTCTAGTGTGGCACATTAGATGATTTCTTTTTTGGTCACTTCAGTATCAAATCTTAAGCTTAATTTACTGCATTTGAAATGTTCTTCAATTTTGCACCATCACTTGTTCTTGTCGGTTCTATTGGTTTGATCACTAATACTTTTGGCAATTCTTACAGAATGCAGACATTGGTGAAACCTACAATGGCCGATTCTTCTAGGAATGTTGAAGGACTGTAAGGTTTTTCCTTCTTTTGCATAGATTTCTGATATGTTGCGTTCATCCAATTATTGTGATTCACCATCTTTTTAGAAGCATATAATAAAAAGCTTTCTTGTTATAATTATGGAATTTGTTGTATATTTCCGACTGCCGAGCATGTCTTTATTTTCAGCTTCCTGCTACAAGGACACAATATATAAATATGCTGATGTTGGATTCTTGATATTGTAGGTTGTCCTGACTCCTGGAGCAAACTTATTTTTGAGTGATATAAAGATCCTACTAACCAAGATAATTTTACCATTCACAGAAGAGTTTTTGGTGTATAATAAGGTGAGAGTTAGTGATTGCCATTTCCATGAAATGATCAAGGATCTTATTTAACGTTAATTTTTCCCAAGTTAGCCACTTCTTTAACACTAATCATTTCAATCCACTCTATCAAAGAAGATATAGATGGTATAGACTATAGAAGCATGTACTTCTCACGGAAATGTATCATGTCATTCTTGTATCTCCACGAAGTAAAATATTCAGATGTGGTCTTGGCTTAGGGCCCTCATATGTATATTACTAAAATAATATTAAAATAAAAATGCGATCATATTTATTACTGCTGCAGCTTGGATTACTGTAGAGGGGAGTTTCCATTTATCAGAGTAATACTCCAAATCTAGTATTGCATTTGGTGTGTTTGTTCCAACCCGTCTCAGCATTTCATGTTAAGTGATGCTGAAACTTGTATTACATTCAGATTATAATAATCTGATGCCTAATTGAGAAGATTGTATGGGTTCAGCAAGACACCTGTAATGGGGTCCCAAAGGTCCAAAGTCCACGAAACCATGTTATAATTCATCATTGCACATTGCTGCTTCTCATTTAATTGCTACTTTTAACCAAAAGGAAAAGTATTTTTTGAGCTCTATCATGATTTGTAACCACCATCAAACCGGTAACAATGATTTTGCCTTGTTAGGTTGACTAGAGTTTGGGATTCGTTATTAAATGTGTTGTCTTTCTGAGTTCTTATTAAGGAGACGGCGTGATGCATTCAGATTTCCACAGGAATTTCCCTCTTATTAAAAGTTTCTTAATCTACCTAACTGGGACAACTTCATCTCTGAATAGCCGGGTATCACGGCTTTTGAAACAGCATATCGAGTAATTATTCGCAATCTATCACCTTTTCTATCAATTGTAAGAGTAGCTTTTGTAGCCTTTTTCCTTCTGGTCTAGAAAGTGTTTTCATGTAACATGAAAGAGTTTACACATTGATTAAGTAAAAACACTCGTATCATCCTAAAGCTTTATACACAGCTTGTTCAAGCACAAGGCATTAACTAATACGGTTTCCAACTTTGCCGATGACCCAACTCTTATCAAAATAAATTTTGGAAATGTATGATAATCTTTAATCTCAGTGCTTTATAGTTCTACTGAAACTTGAATATTCAAAAGGAAAAGAAACGAGTAAACATGTATCTGAACAGAGATTTTGCGTCAATGATTGTAAAGTGCACAGGGCGACTGAAATAATCCCGCCCCATATATTCGAACAATGTGCCTGGGTATCTTCATTTTTATGTAACTTTGTTGATACTATTTTCATTATACATTAACAACTTCGCTTCACTACTATTCTCACTTCCTCTTTAAATAAGCCTTTCAAACTTAAAACCCCACTTCTTGTTGTTTACTTCCCAGTTAGATTTTTCTGTTACCTCTTCTAGCAACCAGCAAGTAACATATGGCTACATAGTTAAGCCTCAGAACAACTCAGTCCAGTCGTTTTTCCAGGTAAGTAAAAGCTACCTACTCTATGGTCTTTTTCTTTTTTCTGGTTATCTGTTTTAACAATATCGGGTCTCTGATATAATCCTGTGTTAACTTTGTTGAAGCAACTTTAATGTTTAATTAATATTTGCATGCAACTTTGAGCTTTCCAGAGAGTGGATTTTCTTGAGTGAAGTTGAAAATGAACGGCTTAGAGAGAAGCAGAAGATGGAATAATCTAAAACAACGGTTAGGATTTAATGGTATGGGGTGTTGTGGAGCCATCTGGAGTCGACCGAGAATTCAAACCATCACCGATATCATACAACAAGAAGAAACTGGTATTGACATACAAAATCAAGAAGTTTCTCAACAACCAACTCCAGCTGCTGGTTCAGGGATGAACCTGGCAATGGCACTAGCAGCTGAACGCAATTTACGGGATGGAGACAATGTGGGTCCTCCTAAGAAAGAAGCTGGAACTGTGAAGTCGTTGATGATGTTGATTGAAGAAACGGACGGTGATGATTGGAAGAAGAGAAAGAGTGACCTGGGAGGAGTAGAAGCTGGTAAATTAGGCGGAGGGAGTGATTGGGTGTGTTGTGTGTGCATGGAGAGAAATAAAGGTGCAGCTTTTATTCCATGTGGACACACTTTTTGCAGGGTATGTTCAAGGGAATTGTGGCTGAATCGAGGCTCTTGTCCCATCTGCAACCGTTCGATTCTGGAGATCCTTGATATTTTTTAGATGATCTTTCTCCTTTGTTTATTGCTACATATATTCTTTTCATTAAATGAGAAATGAAAATCAAAGACAAATGCATAAACTATAATCCTTTTAATAATAATCTATTAGTATAATCAAATAATTATTTTATTTTGATTGAGTCAATTTAATCTAATTTACAAATGAGTAATGTTACATTCACAGTTTCTTCTCACAATTCTGATATGACAGCTTATAATTAATCAATTATAATTTATTAGATGGAACTTAAATGGGACTCATTATAAACTGACCAATTATGAGTTACCATGTTAGGTTGCGAATGTAGAATTTTCCTTTATTAATTTGAATGATTTTTTGAAGACAAATTTTACGGGGAGAAAATGATTAAAGTAATCAGTAATCAAAGAGATACAAATTTACCAAGTGAAAATGAATTCTTTTCCATTTCGTGTAAAGCTTTACTCGGGCCGATGGGCTTGTGGTGGACTGTGGCTGTTCATCATGAAGTCCAAAGAGTAGCCCACAATGAGAAAAAGCAGTAGAAGGTAATAATGTCAAAATATATAAGAGGGTAATTGAGGTGGTATTTATTTACCAGGACTAGAGGGAGGGAAAGAGCGAGGTATTTTCTAATTTTGAGAAATCACAGATATATGTTTGACTATCCAAATTATTCAAACAAGACTTTGAAGATATAAGGAAGAACAGGATTTACTGTTTTTTTTTTTTCCAAATCAAAATTCTACCCCAATTAGTATACACTGTTTGAATGAAAAACAGACTGGATTTTATATTTTATATTTTAATACAGAAGCTTCCGTGAAGAAGGGGAGTCTAATTAATGAAAAATATGCTCAAAATCTTTTCTCAAATTACATAATCATTTTATGCATGACCAATTCAAAGTATATCTAATGTTTTTCACATGGTATAATATTTTTAATTAATCATTTCAAGTTTAGGTATTCAGGAGTTGATGGATGATGATTGAACACTGCTAGTGCTAGTCATAAAGAAAGAAAATGTTACTTGAAAGTTTTTACTGCCATCAAACATTCAATTTGTGTCTACATACATAGATGGATCTGATCTTCCTTAGTATTTGATGGAAAAAGCAAAAACGAACATTGTTTTGCAGAAAAAACTTTGATTAGTCACGCCACAATTCTTACTAATAAAACTTGGTTTTGAAAACTAGATCGGTAATAGTAATTAGGAAGAAAATTTTGAAAGGGAAGTTGTTAGGACCAAAAACACCATTGCAAATCTAATTTGCGTAGTCAGAAATGTGGTTATATTTCATTTTCGGAGAATTCTATTTTGACAAGAAATATTTAAAACTAAAATAAATCTTATCATTTCCCATTGAAACTATTTTGGATTTTTGGTCCCCTACCATCCACATTCATTTCATTGTGTTCAGTCAATTCATTTTACTCTTAGATTTATGAGCAATCCATGCTTGGAAAAAAAATAATTCAAATGAAAATACTAAGAACAAAATATAAATGAAAATTGTCATGCCCATATATTATAGTTGGGCTAATTTCCACCATAACAATTCTCATATATATCTTCTTGTATGAAATTGATTGGAAATTTCCTTTTAAAATAAATTTGGTCCCCTATCTTGAATGCTAATTTGTCTCCATGAGTTAAATACTATGAAAATGAACATTTAGAATGGACCAATCACAAACGTACAATTAAATGTTTCAATTAGCAATAAAATTTATTGTTTGATTTTCCTTGTTGGGCCCAAACTCAATTAGGGAGTAAAATGGTATGCAATGGTAAAATTGTCAAAGTAAGAAAGCCAGTAGTCCACCTTCAACCAGAATAAAACAACGTTTGACAAACAAGTCTTCACACATTTTTCTTCCTCTTCTCGATAGCAGTCGAACAAATAGTAACCACAAATATATCCCATATTTTTTTTTTAGCTTTCTTTTGAACTTATCTCATAAGAGTTTGAGTCAAAAGGTCTCTACACAAACCACCACCATAAGTTAAATTCAGAAGCCGCCTCGAAATTTATATAAATAAGTTTTTGAGTTTTGGTTTTGCACATCAAGTGAAACCTACCTAGTTTTAATTAATATATTTCATGTTATTTAGTCATTATCTTCATTTTATCACTACAAAAGAGAAGATTTTAGTCATATAATAAATAAAAAACAAAATATTGAGATAATTTTGTAATTGAACATTATTGTTTTTTATTACGCTAATTAAGGTTGAGGGCATATTGTAGTGTTTTGGTCAAAAATTCATGCGTGGTACCTCAAGAGACGCAACATTCAATACCTAATTAACCTTTAAAAAAATTAAGGTCTTACTTATACCTACCACCTAATTTCACATGCTCAAATTTTAATACACATGAAGCTTAATTATAAATATTCAGCATTTCATTGAATATTCAAATGTAAATAATCATTTTACTTTGGCTAAAGGATTTTCACAACTTCATCTTTGAAAAAAAAAACAACAAAAAGAAACGTGTTTTTGCTGTCTTATAAACTTGTATTCAAAAACCTCCAATAGTAATAATTAAAGATTTCTATAAAAAGGAAAAGGGTTATGAAAGAAAATTTTGATTTGGATTGCATTAGCAAAGAAGAAAGATTTTTACCCTAGCAATTTCTTCTATATAATTGAAACGTTTATTTTTACCTACAATTCACGATCGTGGGGCCATTTTCTATGAGGAAATGAAATATGGGTGTGGGAGTGGCTCCCTCTCACCAACCCTATTTAAAGTAAGGGACTGTTGGGGCCTTCTAAAGGATAGAGATGCCCTTCAAGATTAGGTCACTTCAATTACTTCCATTAATAAAAAAATAGTATGGGTTTAGGTATCTAATTATTTACGTAATTACTTACAGTTACAGTGAAGTGGATAGTGAGAGGATCCTAACTGAATCATTTCACCTTTACTTGCAAACATTAACTGTCTTCCACTAGCGCCCCATTTGACAAATAAAATAAAATAATTAAAAAAATTCAACGTCATTAAGTCAAAAGACGATAATTTTCCACTTCTTTTACCAAATTTCAAAAAAAAAAAAAAGAAAAAGGTTTGAGCAATTAAGCATTATTTATATGCAATAAAGGTTGATTTGAATAATTGGATGGTCGTATTAGTGAAGTTATTAAAAAATGGGGATATGGTGACAGTCAGTGAAAGATGAGTGGTAGAAAAAAATGGTGTTGGGAAATGGTAAGACCAAATAGGTGGAACTGACTCAACTTATACATTTATTTTATTCAAAAATGCTTTCTTTTTCACTTTCTATACGTTTAATTATTTAAAATTAAAATATTAGTGCTTCATGTTCTTTGTAGTCCCCCACGATGTCGACCATTTTTATCGTCTTTATTGGGGTACTACACTCTCTTTCCTCATTAGTCTTAATAAAAATGGATGATACTGATTTTAGACACTAACAATTTATATGCGTTATGTATTAAAAGAGTTTTAAAAATTACATGTGATGAATCTATAAGATTTAAGTATAATACTGATATTATATATATTACAGAAAACATAAATAATAGACTGATAAGAGAAGTTTTTATAGTGGTAAACTGCTAATAATAAAGACTATTAATTAATTTCTACTATTATTTTATTGTTCTCTAACTATTTCTATGATATTATCCATAAGATATACAAAGATGAGGAAATACTTTGCTTTACAGAGAGAAAGAATGAAACTCAAATATATGACTAATTCTCATATGCCCAACCTCTCCTTTTCGTGAAGAAAGTGTCAATTTATACACCTTTTAGGTCAATATAATAAGTGTTTTATAAGTTGTCTTGACACATAAAAAGCTCTCATATGTTCTTCTCTTAAAATAAGATATGATTGATATAAGATATCTTTGAGGCAGTATAGGCTTGACAGGAAGTATAATTTATCTTTTAAACACTTATTAAACTAACATCAGCGTGACTTTTTAGACATGATATAAATATTGATTGCTTGATAGGGAGTTAACTCAACATTTGTGTTCTAAACAGTTATAGCTTTAATATTTCTTTTGATCAAGAGACGCTTCCTTTATTACTACATGAATAATGCTACAGTTATCGAAGTAGTGCACCGAATTCATACACCGAATGACGTAATAAAATCCTGATCATTAATTAATTTTAACTAAATATTAATAAACGATCATGATTTTATCACGTAATTCGGTGCATAAAATCGGTTCACAAATCATTTCCGATTATCTACATTAATTTCCCAAACCCGGTTAAAGAAAGGGTAGTATGGTAATTAAGTACAGACATGGGTCTGACTCATGTCAGGAAGTGGAAGGTCTGTTTGAGCAGACATCATTTGCTTGCGGTCTCAATAGTTTCTCGTTCACCATTGCAATTTACAACATATCATTAAAAAGAAATGGTAAATTATAAGATATAGTATCAAGTTCATCATCCTTATTATATAATATATGAAATACTTTACCATGAGGAATAAGCTATTATTTTATGATGCTGAAATTGTTCATATTAATAATAATAGGAATTTTCAACAGTGAGGGTAAAGGGCAAGTTCTGGGGAACTTCCAATAATATCAGTGTCACAATAGCCAAACAAATTCAAGAAATGGCGCATGTGGCAGCAACAGTTGGGTCAAATTTGCCAAGAAAGACGGTAGCCTCCAAAATGGGCCCAATCCCACTAGAGTGGATGACGATTGATGAATATTGGTTCAACAAGGCGACGCCACAACATGAGTCTTACTACGAATCTAAGTAAATATATTTGTAATTTTAAATTAATTCTTTAGCCCCACCGGCCACCACAACAATTATTTGTGCCCTCATTACTACTTGAAGTCCCTATAAATACCACCCCAACCTCCGCTCTCTTTGCATTAACAAACACAGTTTGTCGAGATCACTAAGCAAGAAAAATATTCAGTTATTATATTGTGATTTGTAAGAAATGGAGAGCTTGAGTTTCCCAGTCATCAACATGGAGAAACTAAATGGTGGGGAGAGAGCAGCCACCATGGAGAAGATTCAAGATGCCTGTGAGAACTGGGGCTTCTTTGAGGTATACATGTTTTGAACTTTTTAATCACATGCAGATATTGATATCTGTGAGTGTATATAATGTTGGTGTTTAATGGGTTTGTTTTATTCTGTTAAACATATAGCTGGTGAACCATGGGATACCCATTGAGGAACTGGACACTTTGGAGAGGAAGACAAAAGAGCACTACAAAAAATGTATGGAACAAAGGTTCAAGGAACTTGTGGCAAGCCAAGCTTTGGAAGGTGTCCAAACTGAGATCAAGGATATGGACTGGGAGAGCACCTTCTTTGTGCGCCATCTCCCTGAGTCAAACATAAATGAAATCTCAGATCTCGATGATGAATACAGGTAAAACAAATATTAAATTAGTAACTAGCTTCTTGATGTGTGTGATTTGGACCATAATCAACATTTATTTTTTAACAACTGTAAGCGTAAGTACTAAAAGCTGCCATTTTATTGGCCAAGGATTATGATAACACTATATGATTAGTGGTATAATTGCCGTTGGAATACACCTAATAGTGACTAGCTTGGAATTTGAAGAAACAGTAACCAATTGAACTCTTGAATATGAATATTAGACAAAACTCCTTTCAGTCAAATTTAAGTCTTTTTCTTACGAAATGTTTCACTTTTATGCAGGAGGGTGATGAAGGAATTTGCATCAAAATTGGAGAAACTAGCAGAGGAGCTCCTGGACTTGTTGTGTGAGAACCTTGGACTAGAGAAAGGTTACCTGAAGAAGACCTTCTATGGCTCAAAGGGACCAACTTTTGGAACCAAGGTTAGCAACTACCCACCATGTCCCAAACCTGATTTGATCAAGGGACTCCGTGCCCACACCGACGCCGGCGGCGTCATCTTACTCTTCCAGGATGATAAGGTCAGCGGCCTCCAGCTTCTAAAAGATGGCCAGTGGATTGATGTGCCCCCAATGCGCCACTCCATTGTGGTTAACCTTGGTGACCAAATTGAGGTACAGTAAACAATTAGTCATCCTCCCACTAAAAGATAATTGACTTTTGTAACTGGCATCCTTTTGCTAGTTGTTAGTCTTCATTTTAATGTCAAATTCTAATATTGCAACAAACACTTTTGATTTTGAAATGTGCAGGTCATCTCCAATGGCAAATACAAGAGTGTGGAGCACCGAGTAGTTACTCAAACAGATGGCAATGGCCGCATGTCAATAGCTTCATTCTACAACCCTGGCAGCGATGCAGTCATCTATCCTGCTCCAGCAGTGTTGGAAAAAGAAGCAGAGGAGAAGAAACAAGTGTACCCAAAATTTGTTTTTGAAGACTACATGAAGCTATATGCCGGCTTGAAGTTCCAGGCCAAAGAACCAAGATTTGAAGCCATGAAAGCTGTTGAAACCGCTGTTTAAATAAGAAAGCTGTTGGGTCCAATTGCCACTGCTTAAAAAAGAAATAGTAATTTACTGCTTATAGTTTGTGTTGGAGTGGTTTGAAGTTTGCTTACTACAGTATCAATTTTATTATTATTAATTTGTGGACAGCAACAGATGTAACTATTCTGTAATAGTAATATTTTTCTAATACCAATAAAACTTATCCCAGTACTGCTTCGTGTTCCCTTCTCTTGTTTATATTTTAGATCTCAGAAACTGTTCCTAGAAACAACAAAATGATATAAAATATATCCTAGAATGGAACTTTTGGTTGCTTGACATTTGCTGGTCCATTGAACTTCTTCATTTGCATTTATTGCCATGAAATGAAACTGATTTTCAAGACAAGATACTAATATTTTAAATCTAAATCCAAACCAAGAACATTCAAAATTGAATATGTTCAAGTGTAACTACCGCTGTGTTAAGCCAAAAAGATAACATATAGTACAGAAACCATCAACCCAAACAATAAGAACCGCTCACTATTTGCAGAAGTTTTCTCTCTTTGCTCCCAACAAAACCCTCGTGCTTTTGATACTTATCTTCGTAAAGAAGCATATCTAGAAGTATAAAATGAAAGCTCAAACTTCATTGTGGATATAATTTTTTTTCTTAGTGGGATAAGTAAAACTAAGTAAATATTATAAGAAAACAAGTTGCAACATGCATGTTCACAATAAAACAAGATTGCCCAAAAAAAAGAAAAGAATCAAAACAGAGCCCACAGAGAAACCCTTTTTAGACGTAGCAACTTAAAATCCACACAGGCATTCAACTAAAGAATTAGTGGAGCTCGCTGCTAATCATTCATGCAAAGAAAAATAAAGAATGTGTTTGTTGTACGTAAATTAATAAACTAATATTTTATCACACTTGTAATCATAACTGGACTGAGATGGACAACCACAACACAATTAAGAGTAATAATTATAAACATATCGGCATACCACTTTTTGTGGATCACAAAGCTTTCGTAGTCGGCAAAGTTTTGTTGCTCATATTGAAATTTCATCGATCAAAGTTTTCAATTTTCTTCATTGCTTTGTCTGCAAGTTGGATCTTGTCTGCAACATACAATAAGAGTTAGATTTTTTAAAGGAATCTCAGATAAACATTTCCTTATGCCATAAAAATTATTAATGCATTGTGTTTAGAGGTATCTTTGTAACTGTTAAAACTGTTTTAAGGATAATTAAGAACGTCTTCTTTCACCTATTTGATTATAAAGGGGCATATTTTCTAATTAAAAATGTTTTTATATTTTATAAATTAAAATTCTTTTGTACTAGAATCAAATTATCATTTGAACTGATTTTTCCCAAAAAAAAATTTGTTGATACGTTTTCCCTATAACACTTGAATTACTTTTATCCAAGGAAAAAGAAAATGTTTTTATTTAAAAGCTAGAAAATCATTCGTATCCAAAAACGTTTCTTAATTAAAAAAAAAAACACTTGAAATACTTTGAAAAGACCTTTCCTTGGACTTTTTGCATAAAACACTTTTAACACTAAAACCTTTCTAATAAATAATCCAAACCCCACCAATTTAAATTTGCATCATAGATTTTCTTGATTTCAAGAAAATTCTTGTCTCATACATGAATAATACACTATTGCAGCTTTAAGAAGTACATTAATATTTTACTATTACTCATATTTTTTTTCTTCCTTTCAGTCCTAGAATTACCAGTTTTTACAGCAATTGAATATTCCTTGTGTTGTAGACAGGAAGGACAAAAACTTTGACGGGACACATGTCAAACATCCAATATCGAGATCTACGACATTTTGATAATTGAGAATATTGATAGTCCCAAGAGTTCAGTGGTTTGTGCTGATTATAGGATCCAATAAGTTAACACAAACAATGCCTTCATAAAAAAAGATACACATTATGGTAACACATGAATCGAATCAGAAAATAACGTTTGAGATAACTTCAAGGATTGGTCTAGAGGTCGAAAAGTGGCCTCACTCGGCCCGACCCCCGGCGGCCAGAGCAAATGGCTCTTTGTTCAAAGGGATCAGTCTGGCCCAGCCCAGCAACCCTAATGTGATGGGTTTTTGTGCCATCGGGCCGGGCTGGTCCGTCAATTTTTTAAAATTTTTGATGTTTTTGTCTTTTGTGTGATTTTTTTTAGTTATCTTTTCAAATATCAATTAAATTAAATTAATTTTTTTAGTTAACATTTCAAATATTAATTAAATTAAATTGTAATATAAGAAAAATTAGATTTATCTATTTATCAAAAAATAAAATAAGAAATTACAATAATTACTGTCTCGTTAAAAACTTTACCAACCCAACTGCGATAAAAACTTGATAAAAAAAAAAAGTGCAATAATTGACAATTAATTTACACATTACAAAGTTAGGTACAATTTACAAAATAACTAATTTGAGGGTTAATAAGACATCCCTTATCCTGTATCATCTAAATTACAAAATTAAAATGATTATATTAAAGTATTGTTGACAACCTTGTACTAATCCTGATCCTAATGGCGCAACCATTCTCAATCTCAAAGACATGTGAGAACTTTAATCAATTTTAGTGAAAGTTTAGTCCTTATTTCATTTAAAATTCTTCCACTTGTATTAAATGTTTGTTCAGATGAGACGGTAGAGACAGGAACAGAGAAAACATCCAGAGCAAGTCTTGATAGTACCGAAAAATACATTTTCTGGTTTTCCAATAATCTAAGATATCAAAGTTGGCTCTTTGTTGTGGATCTGCTAGTAGCAAACATAGTTAGTAAATACAGGTACGGTAAAAAAAGGGTACGGAAATTTTACGAGAATGATACGGTAAATGGTGAAAAATATGTTTATAAAAATTCGGATACGAGAAAAATATGGTACGGGTATATACGGGTTTAATATGATATATTGTTAATAATACATTTTGAAAAATACGACAATATTAATCATGATTTTAGTACTTTTTATAATCATTGAAATCATTTTCTATTTTTTCTTATAGGTGTATGATTTATATCTTTTTTTAATTATAATATTTTAGTTTATAAAAAAATATATTATTTGATTTGTAATCAATTATTACAAATATTATAGAAGTGGACCAATTATTAAATAAAACAAACAATTTTATTTGTCATTAAGTTGAAGAAGATGATAAGACGAAGAGTGGTGTTTGTTGTGGAATAGTTGAAGAGGAAGAGAGATAGAGACGCCAAAAAAGAGAAGAAAAGAGAAAGAGGGCACAAAAAAAGAGAAAAAGAAAGAAAAGGGCGCCAAAAAACTGAAAGAGAGAGGAAGCGGGCACAAAAAAGAGAAGAAGAGGTGCCAAAAAGAGACTAAAGTCACTTTGGGTAAAAAGAGACTAAGCATAAAACGATGTTGTTTTGATCAAATTTTACCTTACACAACGTCGTTTTGGCTCATTAAATAACAAAACTTTATTTTTAAAAATATGGCTGAATTATACGGGAATTATATGCAAATTATACGGCTAAGGCATATAATTCGCGTATAATTCGACTGTGCTTATAGAATACGGGAATTCGCCTTTTATGTGCGAATTACACAGCTAGGCGTATAATTCGCGTATAAAACGCGAATTTACTAACTAGGTCAAGGGTTCCTAAATATTGGTGAAACTCATTACTCTGCAGCTGTATGGAGAACATTATATTCGCTGTTGATGCTTTTGAAGAAAAGGCTGTGCTTCGGGTTTGGGTCTTCTTCCACCTATTAATTGTACTCCAAGAGTCAAAGTCTTCATTTGTGTCTTCTACTGGTTCTTCCTTGGGTATTACGCCTCTTCGATGGTACCCATACCTGCTTTCATATTGCAAATATACCCCTCCTAGACACTCTCTTATCTATCCTAATTGATTGGCATACTCTTCTTATTGTAAATTTTCACTTAACGAATCTAAAACATTTTCTAAACCCGCTAATTTAAGCATAGGATCAAATATGACAGCTAAACAATAAAGAAAATGAATGAGTTTCCAATATTTTTTAAATTTAAATTCCATTGCTTCTATTGGTCTCGCTACAATTTCATTATTTCTGTTTCGAGCAAATAAATTTAAAATTTCTAAAATTATATGTATTATCAATGGACTAATACGATAACACACACAAAAAAGTTTTAAGAAAATAATCAAATTTTTGAGTTATATGCCAATCACTCTCTACCAAAAAACGATGAGCCCTCTTATTTGCTACAAAATAACTAATTAAATTTACATAAGGTTCCTCTTATTTGCTACAAAATAACTAATTAAATTTGTATAAGGTAAACATGATCAAGCATTAAATAAGTACTATTCTACCTAACTGGCATGTCTAATGCAAAATTTCTAAGACACAAATTTGATTTTTTGCAAGCATCTTGAAATTTATTCTATTACTACTAGTAATCCAAGCTAAACAATCCCTAATTTTATCAATATTATTTCTAATCTTTTCATACAACTTTTTACAATTAAATTAATAATGTGACATGCATAATGTTAGTGAAAAAATTTCAAATTGTCATAAAAAGGAAAATTTTGTTTAAAAAAATTTACAGCTCTACTGTTAGCACTTGCATTATTTAAAGTTAGACTTATTACTTTGTGAACAATAATATATTCTTCTAAAACTTCAACAATTTTGTAATAAATTTGTATACCATTATAATCCACATCCATTAATTTAATAGATAATAGATAGTCTAACTATCTATTAATTTAAATCCCAATAAAGATTTATTTAATTTACATTTATTATCAAAATAATAGATAGTCACACAAATATAATCTTGTTTAGCTCTACCACTCCAAATATCGACAGTTAGAGTCACACCAACATACAACTATGTATTTTATTTCTTAATTCTAATTTCATTTTCTTAAACAAATTTATTAAATCATTTCTAGTTGAAGTTTTAGAATAAGTTTTAAATTTTGGTAAAAATGAATTTTTAATAAATCTTTCAAAATATTTATCTTCGGCCATATTAATAGGTTGATCAGTTGCAGCAATATATAAAACTAATTGTTCCTTATATACATTAGAATTATAACAACAAGTATTACCCATACTAGTTATTTGAATTTGATTGGTTTCTCTATTTCCATGATGCTTTATATGTTTACCAGCATGCCTTTTTAAAGTACTAGTACCATTACCTGCATCAGTCTTATAAATATTTTCACAATACTTGCATATTGCTTTCTTCACTTGAACTCCATTTTTTGTCTCATAAAACTTTTCAAAATGCACCCAAACGTCTGATGTATGTATGTCTGCCGTCGGTTCCAGTAGCTACAGTTGATGAACCCGCTTCTACTTTAGATGAAGTTGGATAAGGACGACGATTACGAGAACGACCTCTAGAACCACTGGGAGTTGTAGCAGCACGAGGAGGAAGGGAGGAAATATTATGAGGTGTATCAGATTCTGAGAATGGGAAAACAAGACTGTTTGAATCTACTGCGTTTATGTTAGTAAATTCAGGGGGACTAGGATAATTTTCTTCATCATCGAAATTGATGTTGGGATGGAAATATCTATCCATTCTAGTTTAAAAAAAAAAAAAAACTGGTTATAAAAGAATTAAAGAAGGAAAATTGGAATTTGGAAATATGAATTGAAAATTGCAAAAATTAATAAAAATTAAAATGAGAGCAAATTGACAACAAATAGATTTGAGAGATTTTTAGAGCAAGAGCAAATAAAGCAATTGAAGAAAATGAGAGAATTTTGGATGTGAGGAAATATGAGAAGTTTAGGCCTATTTATAGAGAAAAATGGGAAAAGAAAATGATCAAAAAGACCGCACCAACTACTATAAAATGACTATATTTGAAGGGTAAAATGAGTTTTTGTAAAGAAAATTTAATTTTTTTATTTAATTATTTTTTTGTCGCCAGTTCGTGGGTCAACCCGGCAGGTTGGCCGTTGGGTTGCCAACGGCCAGTCTGGTTGGTCGTTGGGCGGCCAACGGCCAACTCGTCAGGTTGACTCGTGGGTTTCTGACTACCAGCCTGGCAGGTTTGATGGTTTTTTTTTTTTTTTTTAATTTTATTAAATATATGACCTGCTGGGTTGGCCTATGAAAGCCTAGCCTACCCGGGTTGGGCTGGGTTAAGCTAGGCCGAGTCGGGCCCAAGCTGCAAGCTGACACGGGTTGGGTAAGGGCTGACCCGCCTAACCCAGTCCATTTTTTTCATCTCTAGATTGGTCTGATAATGAAGGAGATTTGCTCTTTTCATTGAGTTTTTGGGTCATCTATCACATTATGACTTACTCGATCCTTTGAACTTGTAAGGTGTTTAATGGACCTTAGAGATTAACTGTGGTGCGCACGAACTAGCCCGAACACCCTAGTTACCAAAAAAAAAAAAAAAAAAATAACGTGCAAGAACAATAAGGTTAAGTTTCATACAAGTTTAGTTTATAAGAGCAATAAGGTTAAATCGATAGTGATCATGTCATTAATCTGACTAGACTAAAGAGGAGAATAATGTCTTGTGTCACTCCAACTACTGTTAATTTGAAGAGAATCATAACGCAATATACCCAAACAATCATAAAATACAAGTTAGGTATCATCTATGCTATTCTAATACACTAACATAAAGTTATAAGTTAGATTACATGATCTTACTACTTTCTATAGTGGGGGTACTTGCGTCCACTGATATTAATAAAAGCAACGGATAGCACGAAACTGTGTAAGGACAGGCTAATTTACAATTTTTAGAAGAGCTATGTATATTATTAGCAAGTCTTCATATTTTATATAAATTAAAACACAAATTTATTGTCACAATCAGAACCAGAAGGTGGAACTATCCTTCGAAATGGGTTCACTAGTCCATCAAATTACATTAAAAAGATCAAAAGATATATGGCTCTTCTCTTCTACAACCAAAAGTTTGATTGATTAGATTTTATAACAATAATCTTTACTAACCAACCGGATTCAAAAGAGAAGAGCTGCAAACTTCAATCATGCTGAGGATTCAGCATCGATCATCTAAAATCTTTATATAAAGCTAAAGCTAACTATGAATTTAGGAAAGAATGATCATGGATCTACACAGCCAATGGTTGCATGTATGGAAAGACTGTTTTAACAACAGAATAGGGCAATATGTATGCTTTTTATTATCCTGAAGGAGGAAAATTGAAGAATAATTCCTCTGCCGCTGAAATGCAATCCCGGAACTCATCACCTTTTCCTGTTATTCGAGAGCAGGACCTAAGATTCTCGTCCCCCTAATGGAAAAAAACGCAAAAGCCATTAAATACAATTGGTTGTCTACCTCTTCAAGCATGAAAATGACATTGGTAGATGCTTCAAGCTAGAGATATCAAACAACTCCATAAACCTCTGATCAGAAACTCTAGTTTTGGCGGCTGCAAAACGCTGGTACTCATCAAAGACAGAAGTGAGACACCACCTTTGCAATTTTCTCAAGCATCCCACAAGACAGCCAGTCCGGTGCTGCAGGAGGAAAAGAAAACAACTCAGAATTTTGTGAAAAGTCAGATATGAATCATTGCGTAAAAATATAAGAAGAGAAAAAGTATTATGTGCATGAACAATCCCTAATTTTATCAATATTATTTCTAATCTTTTCATACAACTTTTTACAATTAAATTAATAATGTGACATGCATAATGTTAGTGAAAAAATTTCAAATTGTCATAAAAAGGAAAATTTTGTTTAAAAAAATTTACAGCTCTACTGTTAGCACTTGCATTATTTAAAGTTAGACTTATTACTTTGTGAACAATAATATATTCTTCTAAAACTTCAACAATTTTGTAATAAATTTGTATACCATTATAATCCACATCCATTAATTTAATAGATAATAGATAGTCTAACTATCTATTAATTTAAATCCCAATAAAGATTTATTTAATTTACATTTATTATCAAAATAATAGATAGTCACACAAATATAATCTTGTTTAGCTCTACCACTCCAAATATCGACAGTTAGAGTCACACCAACATACAACTATGTATTTTATTTCTTAATTCTAATTTCATTTTCTTAAACAAATTTATTAAATCATTTCTAGTTGAAGTTTTAGAATAAGTTTTAAATTTTGGTGAAAATGAATTTTTAATAAATCTTTCAAAATATTTATCTTCGGCCATATTAATAGGTTGATCAGTTGCAGCAATATATAAAACTAATTGTTCCTTATATACATTAGAATTATAACAACAAGTATTACCCATACTAGTTATTTGAATTTGATTGGTTTCTCTATTTCCATGATGCTTTATATGTTTACCAGCATGCCTTTTTAAAGTACTAGTACCATTACCTGCATCAGTCTTATAAATATTTTCACAATACTTGCATATTGCTTTCTTCACTTGAACTCCATTTTTTGTCTCATAAAACTTTTCAAAATGCACCCAAACGTCTGATGTATGTATGTCTGCCGTCGGTTCCAGTAGCTACAGTTGATGAACCCGCTTCTACTTTAGATGAAGTTGGATAAGGACGACGATTACGAGAACGACCTCTAGAACCACTGGGAGTTGTAGCAGCACGAGGAGGAAGGGAGGAAATATTATGAGGTGTATCAGATTCTGAGAATGGGAAAACAAGACTGTTTGAATCTACTGCGTTTATGTTAGTAAATTCAGGGGGACTAGGATAATTTTCTTCATCATCGAAATTGATGTTGGGATGGAAATATCTATCCATTCTAGTTTAAAAAAAAAAAAAAACTGGTTATAAAAGAATTAAAGAAGGAAAATTGGAATTTGGAAATATGAATTGAAAATTGCAAAAATTAATAAAAATTAAAATGAGAGCAAATTGACAACAAATAGATTTGAGAGATTTTTAGAGCAAGAGCAAATAAAGCAATTGAAGAAAATGAGAGAATTTTGGATGTGAGGAAATATGAGAAGTTTAGGCCTATTTATAGAGAAAAATGGGAAAAGAAAATGATCAAAAAGACCGCACCAACTACTATAAAATGACTATATTTGAAGGGTAAAATGAGTTTTTGTAAAGAAAATTTAATTTTTTTATTTAATTATTTTTTTGTCGCCAGTTCGTGGGTCAACCCGGCAGGTTGGCCGTTGGGTTGCCAACGGCCAGTCTGGTTGGTCGTTGGGCGGCCAACGGCCAACTCGTCAGGTTGACTCGTGGGTTTCTGACTACCAGCCTGGCAGGTTTGATGGTTTTTTTTTTTTTTTTTAATTTTATTAAATATATGACCTGCTGGGTTGGCCTATGAAAGCCTAGCCTACCCGGGTTGGGCTGGGTTAAGCTAGGCCGAGTCGGGCCCAAGCTGCAAGCTGACACGGGTTGGGTAAGGGCTGACCCGCCTAACCCAGTCCATTTTTTTCATCTCTAGATTGGTCTGATAATGAAGGAGATTTGCTCTTTTCATTGAGTTTTTGGGTCATCTATCACATTATGACTTACTCGATCCTTTGAACTTGTAAGGTGTTTAATGGACCTTAGAGATTAACTGTGGTGCGCACGAACTAGCCCGAACACCCTAGTTACCAAAAAAAAAAAAAAAAAAATAACGTGCAAGAACAATAAGGTTAAGTTTCATACAAGTTTAGTTTATAAGAGCAATAAGGTTAAATCGATAGTGATCATGTCATTAATCTGACTAGACTAAAGAGGAGAATAATGTCTTGTGTCACTCCAACTACTGTTAATTTGAAGAGAATCATAACGCAATATACCCAAACAATCATAAAATACAAGTTAGGTATCATCTATGCTATTCTAATACACTAACATAAAGTTATAAGTTAGATTACATGATCTTACTACTTTCTATAGTGGGGGTACTTGCGTCCACTGATATTAATAAAAGCAACGGATAGCACGAAACTGTGTAAGGACAGGCTAATTTACAATTTTTAGAAGAGCTATGTATATTATTAGCAAGTCTTCATATTTTATATAAATTAAAACACAAATTTATTGTCACAATCAGAACCAGAAGGTGGAACTATCCTTCGAAATGGGTTCACTAGTCCATCAAATTACATTAAAAAGATCAAAAGATATATGGCTCTTCTCTTCTACAACCAAAAGTTTGATTGATTAGATTTTATAACAATAATCTTTACTAACCAACCGGATTCAAAAGAGAAGAGCTGCAAACTTCAATCATGCTGAGGATTCAGCATCGATCATCTAAAATCTTTATATAAAGCTAAAGCTAACTATGAATTTAGGAAAGAATGATCATGGATCTACACAGCCAATGGTTGCATGTATGGAAAGACTGTTTTAACAACAGAATAGGGCAATATGTATGCTTTTTATTATCCTGAAGGAGGAAAATTGAAGAATAATTCCTCTGCCGCTGAAATGCAATCCCGGAACTCATCACCTTTTCCTGTTATTCGAGAGCAGGACCTAAGATTCTCGTCCCCCTAATGGAAAAAAACGCAAAAGCCATTAAATACAATTGGTTGTCTACCTCTTCAAGCATGAAAATGACATTGGTAGATGCTTCAAGCTAGAGATATCAAACAACTCCATAAACCTCTGATCAGAAACTCTAGTTTTGGCGGCTGCAAAACGCTGGTACTCATCAAAGACAGAAGTGAGACACCACCTTTGCAATTTTCTCAAGCATCCCACAAGACAGCCAGTCCGGTGCTGCAGGAGGAAAAGAAAACAACTCAGAATTTTGTGAAAAGTCAGATATGAATCATTGCGTAAAAATATAAGAAGAGAAAAAGTATTATGTGCATACCTTCCCGCGTTTACAATGAATTAAAACAGGATGATTCCTCACATCTGCATAACAGACAAGTCCGGGTGAGTATTAAAAAAATTCCAAATCCACAACACTCTAACCTAATCCAAATCGAAATGAAGGTGTGACAAAGTTAAGTGGTTTTGATACCAAGGAGAACTTTGAGTGCTTCACGAATCATATCCTCTGGAATGTTTACAAAAGGCTCCTGGATACAAAATTTGTAACATTAGAAATAAGTTCACCATAATGCATTCACATTGTTGTTCATATCATCAAGAACAAACATAAGGTAAAAATTTTCAACCTATTATTGGCAAGTTCAATCAGAAAACACCGCTAATCATCAAAAACATACTGACCAATATCACATTTAAAGAACCTAACTAGATGCATTACCATGTACTCATCAATCTAACATCCTGAAAAAAATTGAACTCAGATTATATCCATATAAGCATTAGTGTTATAATACATAAGGGTTAGCCAACTACTGGATCAACCACGAAAACCATTGCCTTCATGACAAAATGAATGTTTATTACTAGCATCCTCTAGGGTAACCCGAATTTAGGCAAAAGTTCACTTTACCTTTCAACCATCACCACTTTTGTGCTAACAATTTATCACTATCTCAAGAAAACACAATCTTGTTTTATTAAACAAATAAGAGATGCTAAAGAAGAAAATGGTTTGACTTCCTTACACTAAAGTGGCGAAATTCTCGGATTTTTCATGAGTAAGGCTAAGATTAAAGTTGAATTTCTACTAAGGTCTTTATGCAATACAAGTCTTCTTAAAACATCCCTACAATGACATTCTAGGCAAGGATACTTACAAAAATGATGAATTACTACTCAGTTACGTTACAGATTCTCTTATCATAGTAATTCAACTACCTACTCAGTGATTGTCGCGATACAGATCTCCAAAGTATATAACAAGAACAAATAACTAGATTAGCTCTAAATTCCAAGAATGTCCTCAACATGTCAGAAACAAATTTCAAATTTCAAATTTAAATCATGTAACTTGTCACTTGCTTAGACCTACAGACTTTTTTTAAGAACTTTTAAAAATCTTGAGTGCAAATTCCATTAACATTTATCAGAGGATACTGTGCTCTAACCCAACTAAAATATGATGATAACTTAGATGAAAATTAAGCTCTCAAAGATCATGATTACTTAAATGGAATTCAACTCAATTTGAAAGCATATAGGACAGTACAAATATGTGTTAAAGATATATCATTTCCACATTTGAAGTTTTCACTTTTTCAACTTGCGTAAAAGCAATTACAAATCTAATTTGAACTCCATCTATAAGGTTTAGCTAATAACAAAAGGGTTGGTTAAGGGGTCACAATGGTATTCCTAAATCGGAAGGAGTTCAGCTACCACACATTTGAGTAAGCTTAGTAACAATGGTGACCATAATTTGATTATTAGGATCATCCTTCACAAATAAAGCACGTATTTGCAAGTTGATATATTTAACACTATGAAGTATTTTTTAAGTGAAAAAAGAAACGAAAATTGTCATAATAAAACAATGAAGGTCTCCAATCACATACATATGCAGACTTCATATTGGGGAAGCAAAGAATTGATGCTTTTTCTTTCGTTTTTCAATTTGCCTATGAATAGTGGACTGAGCATTGATTGATGCAATTTATTGGAAGGCATTTTGTTAAAAAATAATATGCATTTTATTTGAAGGTATTGATGAGAAGATAATAAGGAAAAGGACATATGCATGTGACAAGTGTAGAACATAATCAGAAATTCACTCACATGTTGGCCATTTTGCAAGGATTCCATCTATTTGATCTCTAATTCCGACCATGGACTTCTTTGTGTAAAGCACACATCCACAGAATAAAAAAAAAAAAAAAAAAAATGAAGAAGAAGAAGAGCTACTAATTGTAAGCACTAAAACCAATTTAAAGCATATCAATAATTTGTTTATTATAATCACAAAATGCAGCACTGAATCCAATTAAAAGCATACCAATAATTTGTTTATTATACAACAAAATGCAATAATTTAGTTGTTAAGCGTTAAAGCTAATAATGTCACATTAAAGAGAACTATTATTCAAATACCATCATAATCCTTAAAATGATAAAATCTAAACAAATCTCAGCTTCTCTGGTTGAAGGTTAAATTTAAGTCCATAAAATGATGAAATCTAAACCTTCACGCAGAAAGAGCTCAATCAAATCAAGGCAATTAAATCGCTAAATATTTGAGTATCGATTGTTTATAAGGTTAACTCTAGTCAACACAATTTGAGCAACGATAAGCTTCAATACTGGAAGGCTTTTGTTTATGTATATATTTGCAAATATAATATTCCCTGAAAATTTATCCGCTAAAAAAGTAAAGCTATATACCTTATGGCCTTCAATCCCGAACTGAAAAAGCCTAACACCATTGGACTTAAGAAACTCCATGTTGGAGTCTGGGTACGGCTCCGGACACAAATATCTGCACCAAAGAATTCAAAAGTATTTGGATTTTAGTGGATGTTGATTCGATTTGGTTTATACTTATTTCACTCATACGAATGTACTATCTCGCTTCTGCTTCTCAAACCTCTTTCCACTTCAACCGCCTTAGACCTTTCGGTCTGGACTTCTATGGTAATAGCTGGTACCTCTTCAAATTCCCACCTTATTCTGACTCCAGTAGAGGCCGCTGGCCTCCGCGATGGCCGCCGCTTCTCTCCAGTTGCTGTCTTCGCTGAAGTTAACAAGATGTGTACAGAAGAAGAAGACGACGCCGAACAACAACAAGAAATAAACTCAACGGATCGTCAAAGTATTATTAAAAACTCTATCTTTCAATCCTATACCCTAGTTCTTCTTACACAAGACCCAACACTATGAACTTTGAAAAACTGTCAATTTTGTGACCACCGCGACCATCAATTACCACCACCACACCACTAGTACCTCACCCAGATCAAATATATCTCTCTCCCCCGTCCCTTTTCGTTTTCATTAGACAAATATATAAATACAAAAATCAAACCCTAAATAGTTAATTATTAATCCATTTATATAATGTGTTTACTCTTCAGCACTGTTTACCGACAACCAGTGCGTGTGCGCACAACCATTTCGCACAGCACTGTTTTGAGAGTAAATCGATCACTGTGAAATGAAGAAGCAAACGAGTTTATGGATGTTTATGATTATACAATCTATTTAATAAATTTAAATTAAGATCTAAATAACATAGATGAGGTCATAATGCAAAACTAATAGTATATAAATGCAACTGAAGTTAATATAAAACAGTTTAAACATTAATAAAAGATCTTTATTAATAAAAATAAAAGATTTTAATCAAATTTTCAGTAATGGTTTAAGATTCTATCCTCTCTTTACATCTAATAGTTTAAGATTCTATCCACTCTTTACATCTAATATTATGTGTAGCATTCAGCATTGAACGTAAAATATTCCAAACAAACTAAGTGATAAGAGTACAAAAAATAATATCGTAAAATTTTTTTAATTTTAACTCATTTTTAACTTATTTTATCTTAATCTAAAACTCTTGTAATTTTATTTATGTAAAAAATCAAAAATCTTATTTCTATCATTTTATACATAGGATAAAAATAATGAATAAAGAGATGTTAGTGAAAGCAAGAAGGGTACGTGCTTCCGAGTATCCCAACATGCGCGTGTTACTTGCACCTCCTAAGTCCTAACTAAATGTCTTTATATCCCAAATTTTAAGGCCATGTTCCCCTGCCACCATAGCCATTTCACTTCCCTAATGTGATAAAAATATCAGACACTTGATCAATTGGGAGCATCAATCAGAGCCACAGAATTTGATCAGCGGCCTTTTTCATGCCTTTTCTTATGTGTAAGTGAGTGGGCCCAAAAAGAAACAAGTGTGTGAAGGTCCACAGCGTAGATAAGTTACGAGATTATGATTATTTGTGATAATAAGAGTGGTAAGTTAATCGAGGGAAAAAAACCAAAAAAAGGGAGAAAGAGAACATTCTCAGGAATATGCGGGGAGAGAATGTGAAGGGTCGGGATGCGAAAGCCGTGCGCCACGTACTTTGGTTGGAAAGTTCACATAAACCAACTATTTTATGCTTTTTCCACTTTGTTTTGTTTGCTGGTTTTTGGTGTTTCCTTCCTGCCTCCTTCTATGCTATTGCTATTGTTTTAATTTTATGTGTCGTCGGATCTTTCTTCCTCGCCCCTTTGCAAAGTTTACCATATGTTAGGGATTTATCCCTTCATCTCAAATTCATTTTCAAAATGGAGCAACACTATGAGAAATCTGTCCTTGCAAATTAAAAGAAAAGAGGAGGCTGAATAACTTTTGGGGTTGAATCCGGGTCGGGGCATGTGGGCTTGGTGGGGTCAGTCTGTGGGTGCTATTGATTTGAAATTGAAACCCCACCATCCAAAATATAAAAACAAAAGAGAACGAAAAGAACAGAAAGGAACATGGGGTGCCAGTGATAGTGGTAGCCGCTTCGTTTGAACTTTGAATGGAGAAGATACTGAGATTCTTTTTTCTGTTCCATTCTATGACATGATCAGGCTGCTTACTCACTTACTTTGAACCTTCACTCCGTTCATCATTTTTTATTTATTTATGGAACTTTCTTTTAAATTTATTATAAACCAAAACATCCATCCGACTATCCATTGTCACCTCACTAGCATTTTCCTTTTCTACGAAGGAAATATCAGTAGCAAACGTATTTTATTGTTATAAGATGAATACATATTTGATTATTTTTGTATTGTATATGAAAAATCCTTTCTAAATTTAGCAGACTGAAAAGTGGCTGTGTGGATGCTTGAGCTAAGGAGCTAGGTGTCGGATTTATAATAGAAACCCGAAGAATACGTTCTTCTTAATAGGGTAATTACAATGACAGATGCTTGACTTCCTTGTTAAATATGCAACCACAAATTTGTCATAAAGGTAGAAATGTGTATATTTTCGAAGAGTATAGAGTCAACCTCTGTTTAGATTAATGACTTCAAATTTAACCACTTGCATTAAAAGTGTTTATCGTGACTTGAAAAAGCACTTCCACTCTCTATGTTTTTATTTCTTATTATATAATTAGTGGTTCGTTCATTTTGTTGAGTGCCTGCGCAGTTTAGTTGGTTGATATTGAACGTCAGTGGGCAGCCAACAAGTCGAGCTTTTGTAATACCATTTGATTTGCATAATATAATTAGATTCGTTTTGGTATCAATCATACAATGTGAGCAAACAAATAAATAATGTCAAATATTTGATTGATTTATTAAGGGTATATCCCTTGAATAAATTCTCATTCAAAATATTTGCCTGTCTTACCGAATATTTTTGTTAAAATAAAAAGAGGGGCGATTATTTAAAAGATGAATGTTACGTATGAAGACAGGCTCTTTTGAAACACTGGATTTGTGGTGGACAGAAACTGTTGGAACTCCCACCACTACAAATGATCTTAAATGGAAGTCTCGTTATCATACTAGCTAGCACTTGAAGACCGACCAAACATTAAAATAATATAGACCATAGTTTTAAAATGCTTTAATTTGAAACTGAAACATGACTCTTGCTTGTTAATTATTATGGGGAGAATCGATGGATTGATGGATTTAGGTCGCTATATACATGAACAGCACAGTGCCAAAAATGACGATTTTCGATTGTGAGTAAAGGGATGCATGTTTCGTGTTGGTTGTTGATTAATAAAGGCATGTATAGGATAGCCATGCATGCTAAATTGTTTCAAATGTGATCGTAAATAGTTGGGGGTTTCATTGTCTCTATATCAATTCAGACCAAAGTTTTTGTTTCAATGATTTTGATATATTATATTATGATCTCATCTGGATGGATCGAGTTCAAGCAAAAAGTACAAATGGAAAATCATAACAAATATAAAGTCAAAAAATGAATGTCTAAACGTTTGAATTATACCATCTCCACGGCAATTAAGAACTTGAAAACCAACAGGGTGCTATAATATATATGTGTATAATTTGACTTAATTAAACCAATGGTTATATCTGAGCTTGGAGTTGAAGAAGAAACACACAAATAATGAAGCCTCTCTGCGCGCAGTTTTGAGTTTCGTGAGAGACATGTCAAATGATTCTTAATATAGATATGTTTTACCAAACAAGTTTGACTTGCATGTTTTTGGATAAGGTGGCATTTCAAACTGGCTTTTATTTAATCTTATTCAAGCTTCTTTGGTATGTGTACGTTAAACGTTACGTAATCGATAAGCTTATGTCAATTACCTTGAATAAAGTCATTTTTTCTTCTACATATTACTTAATGCTTTGAAGTCTTCTACATCATAAAGAGTTTGAAAATGAAACCGACATATTGAAATTGAGGCATGATTTCATAGTATAAGCTAGCAATACCAACAGATTATGATTACTACATCATATGTGTTCATTATCCCATGAAATTAATTGCTTCTGAACATGAGGATCTTTCCCCGTTAATTAACAAAACTCATTCAATCTAACATGTCTTGTATATTTTGAATTAGTTCACAGGTTGCTTGCTCCTGCAAGTCTTGCGAAAGAAAAAGTCTTGCGATTGTTGTAGCTATAGCTAAACCCATTTTGGTTTTTGCACGCAAAGTTGGTTGGTTGCATTATTTTTTTCTTGAAAAGCTGACTCCCTTGCATCAATAATGAAGAGAAATTGAGATGGGTATCCACACCAAACAAACTATGTCATATAATTCATCACCTACCTGATAAAGTTTCTGCTTATAAGATGATAATATTTAATTTGTTTCCACTATTCGCAATAACACTACTTAATTTAAACTCATTCTCCAGATCTTTAATCAATTAATTAACTAAAGTAATTATCTTCTATCTCGTAACATATTATCTGGGCACTCGAATTTATTTGTATTTAGCTAAGTTGATTATTCTGTGAACATAATCTGTAGTTTTGCAGGCATTCATAATCATAGCTCATATTTATATGATAAATATTTATTTATTTTCCCAGCTATGTTGGTTTTTACCTCATCATATTTTCATAGGGATGTGTAAATATTATTTGTCTTCAGAGAATAATAGACCAGTGTGTTGGGCCATTACACATTTTATAAAGCCCAAAGGCAAAAGTAGACCAGCTCAATTCCAGAGGTTGTTGTAGAAGAAGTTACTCCTACTCAGCAGAGCAAACAGACTGTTTTAAGTTGCCACATTTGAAATTGAAATTGGTGTGGACAGACAGGTACTGTAGTCTGTACATACTACATTGCACTATTTCAAAATTAATTTGCAGTCGGTGTTTAATTTTAGTGCATTCCGGAGAGAGATAAAGAAACTGAAACTGAGCTGACCTAATTTGACCCGATAGAGCCGAATTGCAGATAAATGGCAATGTGGGGTCCAAATTTAAAAGTAGGGTGACAGGGCACGACGAAGGAAATTCATGATGACCACTTACACTTATTACAG